CAGTCACTGATTAGACAGCGATGGAGTCACACACCGTGTCACCGCTTGTGCTGACTCCCCCGCACCCCTGACATCCCCTTCTCTATCATTAGCCCCGGAGAAATAATTTATTACAACTTTTTTTATTAACGTTTCCCCTACACTAGGATTTTCTCCTGTACCGTGGAGGTAGTTTACAAATATAAATTGCACAAGGACAAACATTCAGACCCGGAACAATTATTTGCAAGCCATACAAATACTTGTTCATTGCGGGATTCGAACACACGGCCCCCAGCCCTGCAACTCATTGCTGTGCCACTGCGCCACGGAGTCATCACTTTAGAAGTTTTACCTATTCTTTGGGATAAAAAAAATAACCAACATGTGAATAAATGTAAGAGAAACGAGTTGCTGCAGAAACTATTAGTAATTTTGAAAAAAAAAACCCCAAGCTAATGTAGAAGACGTGAAAAAAAATGAATACCCTAAGATCCAACTATCACCGTGAATTCTTTAATTTTTTCTTGTTAAAATCCATACCTAATGCGTATGCGTGTTATCGCGTAGCAGTTTTCGGTTGGACTCAGTGAAGTAGCGTGCCTTAAAGGGGCGCTGTATCAAAATTTGTCGGGAGGCCCAAATTAAGGGTAAAGATTTTTCACAAAAGGAACAAAAACTCTCGCATTGAATTAAAATAATTATATATTGATTATAAGTTATTACTTGTAATTAATACTCCTAGGAATTAAGCCAGCCTAACAATTCAAACCAAAATCCTGTCCCATAGAAGTCCTTAGAAGTTTTGCTTACATACGTTCGGGGCCTCTGTAGCCCAGGGGCCCCGTATCATTGATACGGCTGATACGGCGGTAGCTACGCCCCTGGTTGGACTGATCGTCAGTCTGGCTTACCATCTAAGGCAGCCCATAGGCAGCCCGTACACATTCAATCTCGATCGCGATAATATAGCTCTGATCGCGATCATGGATCACGGGATCGCGCTACAACATTACTCTACCAATCTTCATTTCTTCAATTCGTGTATCGTACCCGCCGTGTTAACATCTGTTATCATGGATTACATAAAATTAAAGTTGTAGTATCTTTTGTTTAGACCCTAATTTTGAAGACAAGGTACGAAAATGGCGCTGGGTTAAACAGTGGTTAATTATAATAATAGAGAATCGTACACTCATTTAAATCTACATAAATAAATTCAACTAACAGTTGAAACTGATGATTATAAAAACAACTTCAGGATGGGGGAAAAGGCGTAATTCAATGCATATACGTTCAATCCTGATCGCGATCCGTTGATCACGATCTTGATTTCAAGATAACTAAATATTGTATATTATAGTGACCCTATATATCAATCTCTCAATCAACTTCATGCACAGTCAACCTGGATCGTATTCATTGATTTTGATCGCAGATCGTGATCTAGAATGACTGTCTACTTTACTTATTTTACTTTTACTTACTTTACTGCCTAATACCTTCCGTCAATCCATCATTCAGCCCTCAGTCTATACGTGATCAAGGCCACAGACTGTACGTATAATAAAAAAAGTTTTTAAACTTTGAGCAGGTCAAACTGTATATTTTCTGGAATTTTGTTGTAAAAGCGTATACATCGCCCCAAGAATGAATTACTGACTCGATGGAGTCGAGTAACTGGTACTACTAGCTTGTGTCTGTTCCTAGTATTTACAGAATGAATATCACTTATTTTTGTAAAACTACTTTTATTTTTATGTACGTACATTACATTTTCATAAATGTATTGAGAGGCCAAAGTTAATATATTAATTTCCTTAAATTTTTGTCGGAGCGACTCTTTAGGCTTTAAATCATAAATTGCTCTTATGGCCCTCTTCTGTAAAACAAATATAATTTCAGTGTCAGCTGCGTGTCCCCATAGCAAAATACCATACGACATTATGCTATGGAAATAGCTGAAGTAAACTAGTTTAGCTGTTTCGACACTGGTTAGACTTCTAATCTTTTTTACAGCATATGCTGCAGAACTAAGTCTGCTTGCTAGTTTTGATATATGGGGGCTCCATTGAAATTTCATGTCTAGTGTGATTCCAAGAAAAATGGTGGTATCTACAAGACTCAGTTTCTCCCCATTTAAAATTACATTAGTATTTAATTGTTTGACATTTGGAGTCATGAATTTCATACATTTCGTTTTAGTGCCATTTAAATGCAAATAATTAACATTGAACCAATTTACTAATTTAGATATAGCATTATTTACTTCGTCATATTTTAGTAATTGTCGACTTAATTTGAAAATTAAAGAAGTGTTATCTGCAAATAATACTATATCATGGTTATCCCCTACTATGTAAGGTAAGTCATTAATGTATACAAGAAACAGAAAGGGGCCGAGAATTGAGCCTTGAGGCACGCCCATTTGTACCATCGATCCGGAAGAGCTCATATTGTTAATGACAACTTTTTGCGTTCTCTTACTTAAATATGAAATAATTAATTTAAGAGCATCACTTCTTACACCGTAGTGTTGAAGTTTCCTGATTAATGTTTCATGGTGAACACAATCGAAGGCCTTGGATAGGTCACAAAATATACCCAAAGCATCCTGTGAATTCTCCCATGCATTAAAGATATATTTAATCAGCTCAACACCAGCATCAGTTGTCGAGCGACCCCTTGTGAAACCAAATTGATTTTTATGAAGTAAATTATTTATATTAAAAAAATTTAACACTTGATCAAGAACAATTTTTTCAAAAATCTTACTAAGTGTTGGTAGTACAGAAATAGGTCTAAAATTGGCGGGGTCTAATGTACTACCAGATTTAAATAAAGGTATTACTTTACTATGCTTCATTAAATCAGGAAACACACCAGATTCGATACTAGTATTAAAAATAATAGCTAAATGAGGCGCGATTGTATATATTATAAACGCAATAACTTTAACGGAAATCCCCCAAAGATCCGCAGTTTTCTTAACATCAATAGTTTTAAAATATTTTTACAATATCTTTTGATGACACTTTATGAAATGTAAAATTCTTTGTACACGCATTTACATTTTGTTTAAGTAATGATTCGGCGACAGCAGGAGAAGAATTCAGTGACTTAGTGGTCAAGATCGGAATATCAGTAAAATATTTCTCAAAAACCATTGCTACTTCCTGATTTGATACAGTTAATTTGTTGTTAACACTTAACTGGTAATTTGAATTGCGAGAGTTGATCTTACCAGTTTCGCTATTAATTATACTCCATGTCATTTTAATTTTATTGGAAGCCGTCTTAATTTTGTTGCTCAAATGCAAAGACTTGGCTATGGAGCACACTCTTTTAAATATTTTTGAATATTTTTTTACATATTCCCTAAATTCGACGCTATGATTATATGACCTTTCATGGTAAAGTTCATATAACCTATGCCTGCTCTTATGGACTCCTACTGTCGCCCATTCATTGAATGACTTCCGACTGTTCAAGGAGAATGTTTTAGAAGTAAAAGTATTATTAAATTCATTGCAAATAAGCTTAAATAATGTTCCATACAAAAAATTAGGATCATTTTGGTATGAAAGTGAAGGAAGTTTTTTCACTATGTTACTCTGAAATTTCTCCAAGCAACGTGCATTTACTGGAACAGACACAACTTTCTCATCTACTTGCTTTTTGTGAACATAAGGTAACGAAACTACTTGTTCACAGTGATCAGAACGTAATTTTTGAATTATACATTTATGCAACGGCTTCACATTTGTAAAAATGTTATCTATACATGTTGCACTAGATTGAGAAATACGCGTTGGCTCTATAAATAAATTAAAAAGACCATATGATTTAAACAATGATCTAAATTTAATATTGATGGAGGAAGCTTCTAGGAGATTGATATTAAAGTCTCCACATATTACAACAGATTTATTCTGTTTATTAAGCATAGCAAAAATTTCCTCCATAATGTTTTCAAAAGTATCATATGTACAACATGGGGGTCTGTAGACGCTCACACCAATGAGGTGCTCAAACTCAACACATGCCATTTCTACAGTTCGCTCAACAGAGAGGCTCACAATGTCTTTACGTTCTTTACATGATAATAATTTACTAGCTAATATTAAGGAGCCACCTCTTAAAACCGTATCTCTATTGAAAGAACTGACCATCTGGTGATTACTGAAGTTAAACATTAAATTATAAGCTTTTAACCAATGTTTAGTAATACATAAAATATGAATATTGTTGCTATTTAAGAACAACTCAATTTCTAGCTCTTTGCCTATCATGCCTTGTATATTTTGATGCACCAGGTGTAAACAATTTTCATTATCTTTCTGTGGAGTCATACAATTAAAGATTTGTAAGCCACATTCTAAATTATTTAAGTTATTATAACTGCTAGAGATTATCTCTATTGTCTCATTTTCTAATTTAAGTTACTTGGGACTGAATCCAAATTGCATATTAAGTCATTACACTGCTCAAAAGAAGCAGATGTCTGTGTAGCCAAGTCCTTGGCTGAGTTAATATATAAATAATAAGATAGCACATTTGCTATCTGTCTTAAATTATATTTTGATAGGTAATACCTATCTCTAGTCAAAAATTTCTTAATTAAATTATTTATATCTATTAAATTAATTCTATCATTATAATTGTAACAATTAAATGTCAAGTTTAAATTATTATAACATGAAAAGTTATTCATTAATAAATTTAAATCATATCTTATTTTATTTTCCTGCGGCCAACCCTGTACGTAAGGCAATGTAAATAAGATAATTTTATGTACATTTAAAGTATTTGAATAAATCATAAGATTTAAAAAAATATTTGATAACGATAGTGCCCGTTGCCAACTTTGCAATATATTTTTGTGAATATAATACACATCAGACTAGCCTGTACGGTCTAAGACATTTGCCTACCTTAATTGGTATCAACAATAATTGTAAATTTGTAAATATTGTGGTTTTTATCACTATATTGAAAGAGAAAAATACGGTATTAAAAATATGCCTAAAATTAAAGCCGAAAAGAAATCTAGAATACACAATGAAATTGCTAAACAAGGTATTTTATTATTGCTAAAGTAATTTTTAGGTCCTCATGTCTTATTCTGTTGAGGTTATATTTTGTACCCTTGTGATAATTCTCATAAATTTAAAAATGTTCTTAAATGCTTTATTTCAGGTATTCAGTTTAATAAGGATTTTGGTCAGCATATATTAAAAAATCCTCTTATCATAACATCTATGTTAGATAAAGCTGGTCTAAGACCCACTGATGTTGCTCTCGAAATTGGTCCTGGTACTGGTAATATGACAATAAAATTATTGGATCGCGTAAAGAAAGTTATTGCTTGTGAAATCGACACAAGGTAATCTAAGTTTTATGGACAACGTATTGTTTGTTTTTATTGAATATTACTTTGATATAATAATAATTTGGGTCATTTCAGGTTGGTTGCTGAACTTCAGAAACGTGTTCAAGGCACGCCCTATCAGTCTAAATTACAAATAATTGTGGGTGATGTTTTAAAAACTGAGCTTCCTTTTTTTGATATATGTGTTGCAAATATTCCATACCAAATCAGTTCTCCTTTGGTGTTTAAATTGTTGTTGCACAGGCCTTTTTTTAGATGCGCTGTTCTTATGTTTCAAAAAGAATTCGCACAAAGATTGGTGGCCAAACCTGGTGATAAATTATATTGCAGGTTGTCAATAAATACACAATTATTAGCTCGTGTTGATATGTTAATGAAGGTGAGATTTACAATTCGATGTTGTAAATTATATATATATATATATATATATATATATATATATATATATATATATAATTATCTTCATAAATTTTAAACACTTAAATTTTAATTAAACTGTTAACATGTTATGGCTGTCTGTACTCCCAACTAAACAATTGAACCAAATTTAATGCAATTTATTGTAAAGTTCTAATAAGCAGAAATTAATAAGAGAATTGCCAAAACCATCTTATGCCGAAACACTAAGATCTATCATATATGGTAACAGAAAAATAAGACAATTTAGTTGATGTGATACTCAACAATAATTTTATATTACAGGTTGGAAAAAATAACTTCAGGCCACCACCAAAAGTCGAATCAAGTGTAGTGAGGATAGAGCCTAGAAATCCACCACCACCAATCAATTTCGTAGAGTGGGATGGTTTGACAAGAATAGCATTTGTAAGAAAGAACAAAACATTGTCAGCTGCTTTTAAGCATTCAACAACAATGGCAGCTCTAGAAAAGAATTATAGAGTACATTGTTCTTTGCACAATAAGGTAATTAAGTCATAAGAATTGTAACATGTAACAAATTGCTAAGTTAAGAATAACTAACAAAAGGAACCAAAATCAGCAGTCCTATTACTTACTACTCATCGAGGAGTTCCAGTAGCAGTCATCGAAGTACACCTTCAGATCACTCTTTCAAGTCCAGAGGTAAGGTCTCATTATAACTAACAAAACAAGGCCAAACTTGGCACAATTAGTTCTACTCTTCGAGGAGTTCAAGTAGCATTCATCAAAGGACACTTTAAGCGTCAAGCGTCACTCTATCAAGACTGGAGGCAGTGGTGGATTAAATATCGACTGCGCCCTAGGCTAGCCTAGCACTTCTTCGGCGCTCCTCTATGGACCATATTTTATCTATTATAAATGAAACATACTAATTTTGCAAATAAGCTATAATATAGTTTAATAATTGCAAAATAATTAGAATATGTTTAACGTGGTAGAGCCATGCTGCAGCTATTAGTACTATAGTTATAGCACGAATGGGTCGGCTCGACTGGGATAGGACCACACTCTCACAGAATACCAGCATGAAATAGCAACTTAACGCTGCTGTGTTTCGTATGGTGAGTGTAGAGAACCGGAGACCCTTTTTACTGGAAACGAGGCATTCCATCTTAGTCCTCACGGGTGAAAAATTCTAATTCTTAAAAAATTTAATTCGCAGAATGCAGATTTTGATTCGTAATTGAAGATAGATGTAGATGTTTATGGGCCACAGGAAACACTTACCATCAGGTGGACTGTGTGCTTATTTGTCACCCTTATCCTATAAAAAAATACGAGTACCATTAACGCGGGGGGGGGGGGGGGGGGGGTTTAAATGAAAAATGAAATGAGAGAGTAAGAGCGATTTAGGAGCGATCAAATACGGCGACTTCGTTTAACTTCGTCTTCTTTGACTTCGTTTCGTTTAATAACTTCTCGCGCGCCTTTTTAACCTTGCGCCCCTAGGCACGTGCCTTGTTTGCCTAAAGGATAATCCACCACTCTTCGGAAGTAAGGTCTCAACATAACTAACAAAACAAGCAAAATCTCGGCACACCTATTATCTACTCGTCGAGGAGTTCCAGTTGCAGATATCGAAGTTCACCTTCAGGTCTCCATAAAGTCCAAGATGTATAAGTATATTTATATATAAATCCTGCATACTTTTAGCAAAATAAAATATTGTAATAAAAATCTGTGATTATAAAAATAATATCTTACCTTAGTCAAGTGTATCGATTGTGGTTTTTGGAATATTTTGTATTTCTAAACGATCGATATTTTTCTACACGAACCGCTGTAAACAAATTACCACTCACGACGGCGGCTGAGTCCGGAGTAAAATAGTACTCTGTGGTCGGGAATGAGGCAAAGTGTATTTAGTAAAATAAATTAATATAAGGTTGCTCAAAACACCGAATATTTCGCTATTTCTCAGCTGAAAAAAATTAATTATAACTAAACAAAACAAAATTAAACTGTCATTTACATTCCATGGCTTCTCACATGATAGATGAAGAGTTTAGAAAATAGATGGAGTTGAACAATTGATATTTTCAAAAGTTATCGTGTTTACGCCACCATGCGGACTTGATAAATCAACACCTTATGCCACTAAAACCGTTATTTTTATATAAAAATAGCAATTGATCGATTAAAAAAAAATAAGTTCAACAATCATTGAATCAATCTTTCTGACAATGTGCTTTTTATATAATTTATTTATGTTCATTATGATTGTTAGATACGATTTCATGCGCCAAAACGTTGGAAGTTTGATTTTTAGGCACTAGTAAAACGTAACTACGCGCTTTGCGTTTAAGGCGTGCAAAAAACGCGACAGTTGAATTAGGAATGAAAATATAGTATTTTTAGTACTATATTATTTTTCTATAATATACAGTACAATTGACTGAAATATATATTATATATTTCATACATATACATAGTAGGGGGGCAACCCTAGGTGCAGGACAAACCACGAAATATAAAAAAGAAGAGGAAGTAGCAAAACGTAGGAACCACTGTCGCTAAACTCATACATACGCAAGAAAGAAATGTGTACCGACAACTGTGTACCCACAGACTAACTAGTAGATTCTACACGAATCAGACGGACATCTTACGAACTAAACTTACTCGACTTAGCTTATGCATCGTGATTGGTTGTAGCAAAATGATATATGACATTTCTTTTTTTTAATTTGAAGCAGCTATATCAGGCAAAGGACGTTCTAAATAAGCTTATTTATTAATTACTTGCAAAATTTATTTTAAAATATTGAAAATAAAATAAGGTAAATAAAAATGAAACAATGATGAAATTTAATATTTTTTTATTAGTTATTAATTTTTACTTCACAATAATTTTGTTTACAAATTTAATAATTTATTAATATATACAATATTAAAAAATTATAATCTAAACAGATCTCTACAGCACTTAAGTTTTTATATTACATAGCTTCATATTGACTTGGAATGTGCTGTGCCCCGCATCCTTACCTGAAACACAATCATTTACAGCCTTAATAAAAGCATTTTGCTCCATTTGTTCATAATCAAGATTTGTTCCATATTGGTAAAAATTGTATGTAACTACATAAAAATTAAAAATTGTATGTAGTTATTAAGCTTTGGCAGCTGACAGCGGCTGATCAAAACTATTTTCCTGTAGAAATGAGTATGTATTGTCTGAAATCAAAAAATTATACTATCAAAAACATAACTTGTAAAAAAAACCAAGTCTCGCAACTCAGTTCTACTACCGTAAAAAGTTGAGAGATCCATGTAATACCGGTTATATGTCGGTTAATCTGTTCAGTACCTACTTAAGGGTCCTTCCGTCTTAAGTTATTACGTAGTTAGTTAACCTAACAACATCTTATAGTGACCACATCAATACTAAAATTTTTTTATGTTTTCAATTAATAGATTGACTTGGCAATCGCATGAAAACACTATGTATCTCTGAAGTAATACATATTATATCAACCGATTCGTTGCGGCACCAATTTTCGACAACTTTTAGCTGTGGCGGCGAACACATATTGCATGACACGCTTGGCGTGCCTAATGAAGTTAAATGAAACTATTGTTTATATGAAAACAAGAGCGGCTTTGTAGTGTAGCTTGTTGAGGCAGTGTAGAGATGTCTGTTGGGCTGGATGCAGAGCGAACGATGAGCGAGTGACGACTAATGAGGTGGTAATGATTTGGGTCGCTCACAGCATGCCTTTTATTTCGTTCGGTCAGTTGCACAACTCGTGCAAGCGCCGTGAGGCGCATATGCTCCATTTGACCAATGAACGGACAGGAGGGAAGTGTGCGGGGGTGTGTTTAGTATGACTCATAATTTATTTCACAATTATACATTTACATACAACAAATCTTTGCAAACAATTACTAATAAGTATGTGACACAATATAAGACATACAGCAAATCTTTATAACAACTACTAATAAGTATGTGACACAATATTATAAAACACACAACACTTTGCATAGGCATACAAACATTTATTATGTATTTGACAAACACTATAAAGACATATAACAGATCTTTATTTGGCAATAACTACAACAAATACATAGGTGACAATCACTATAAAGATATACAATCAACTCTTTATAGGCATACAAAAACATTAACAAGCTTACGTACAATTGTAAGCTTACGTGACTAAAACTTAAATAACTACATAGATCGTCTTAAAGGATATTCAACATTAATAACGTCTTAAATCTAGGCTGTTATTTACAATCTCCCCCTCGTGCGCAAGCACTAAAAAACTGTTTTAGTCCGTTGTCGTAATTGCGATGAGGCGAGAGGCCGGACGGCGCACCAAACCCGTTGCTGTTCTTATTTCAGTTATTCGGACGCGCCCATCTGGGCCTGGGTGGGCTTCCGTCACTTCGCCTCTAGGCCATACTCCTCTAGGCATTGTGCCATCGCAAATTATCACGATGTCCCCAACTTTTAGATTTTTGTGTTGAGAGTTGGAGCTGGACCGGGGCATTAAAAGAGGTCTGTATTCCGCTGACCAGCGTGGCTTTCCAGGAGCGTGGGTTCAACTGTGTGTCTTTAAATGAACCAAACGGTGACTTCCCGCTAGAGCGCCCAATAAGAAAATGATTGGGTGTCAGCGCTTCTTCATCCAAGTTGGGGTTCACCGGAGTCAGTGGCCTCGAATTAATCACATGCTCGGCTTCCAGCAGTAACGTGTGCAGCACTTCGTCAGGGGGCGACCTCTCCTTTAGTGTGACTTTTAATGCTGTTTTAACTGATCTGATCAATCGTTCCCAGGCACCGCCCATGTGGTATCTTTTTCCAGATGATCAGCTTTTCAGATGCGAAGGTGGTAAGGCTATGGTCGTTGTTTTGCATAGCTTCAGCGATTACTCTTTTAGCACCCACGAAGTTGGTTCCGTTGTCACTGTATATCACGGTCGGTGTGCCCCGGCGAGCCATCATTCTTCATATGCTCATGATCATGGAAGAGGCCGTGAGGGCTGTGGCCACTTCTAAGTGCACAGCGCGTGTAGTGAGGCATGTGTATAAGGCACCCCACCTTTTTTCTATCCTTCGCCCGACTGTGACCTGCATGGGCCCGAAGTAGTCTACCGCGGTTGCAGTGAAGGGCGGTTGATTCTGGGCCAGCCTTTCCACTGGTAAGTCGCCTAAAGGGATTTTTGATGGGATCCCCCTATAAGTCCGACACCATTGGCATTGGTTGCATATATTGCGTATAACGCCGCGTAGTCCTATTATGTGGTATCGCTGTCTCAGTTCGTTCATGACGGTCTGGTGATTGCCATGATTGAAGGTTGCGTGCGTGTGATGCACCAACAGCCGAGTGAAGCCTTCTTTGGCGTGTAGGACTGGCAGATTGTGTTCGTTTTTTATTCTGCTATCTAAACACAATGCCGTTGCGGTCGATCTTCACGGATAGTTTGTAGAATGGTGACTTCTTGGGTGGTCGCCGCCCAGCCTTTATGGT